ATCCAGCCCCACGGCACGTCCCAGGGAGCTGCAGTCCAGCCATACCAGGAGCCATCTCTGGAGGGATGGCAAGCCAGATATTGGGCATTACTCCATCGTGGATAAACCCTGCCTGAAGCCTCTCCTGAGCATTCCCAGTGACAGAGAAGCCCAGCTCCTAGGAGAGGCCAGCTTTCCACTGGTCCCTGGGCCTTTCTGGTGGTGCAAACCTCTGTGTGCAAGGGCTGTAAGACACAAACACATTGCCTGCTCCCAAAAGCTAAAGGTTTTCCAGGGACAAAACACAAGCACAAAGGGACACTGGGGTTTTTGGTTGTTTTTAGTTATTTTTTTTAATAAGCCAAGGTGCTGTTTGATATGGAACGCTCTTCCCAAGGGCTGCTGGAGCCACACACGGGCACAGACCTGCATTTGATCTCCCGGGGAGGTTTTACAATCACTTTCCCAACCCGCTCACCAGCTCTGTTCTCCAACACACCACCCCTTATCTGCTCCAGAGAGCGGCTCCGGGATGCAGGAACGCGGCTGTTCCTCTGCACTCCATAATTGCCAACGCCAGGGAAGGACATCCTTCCCCATTTCACAGCTCTGGAGCTGCGTAACCACAACCGCCTCGCCGGCGGCCACGGGAGGATTTCCCCCGTGCAGATGTTCGTCCCCGCCGCCCACACCGCGGCTTCGTGGGCACGGCCTGGGGCACCCGATAAAGCAGCCAAGGATTTATGAGGCTCCTTCTCCTAAATCGACAGGAAAGGGGAGGTATAGGAGATGCAAGACGAGCTGGAAATGGTGTGGAAAGTTATCACCGGGGTTTGTCCACGGGCTTTATATTGGTGGGATATTTATCCTTCGACTTCCCACAAAGTTCACTTTGGAAACGACAAGTGAAAGTCTCATCACTCCACAGCCAGGTGATTTTTTGGCCACACCATGCTCCAGGTGCTCCTGTGCAGATTCAGGAGATGGTGGGGGGAAAACACCACTGAAACAGCTCTTTTATAGGTCTGTGGATCATGGTGTGTCTGCCTATCAGAAAAGGTTGGTCTGTTGTTGTTTTTTTAGGGGGGGGCGGGGTGTTTAATGGGTGTTTAATACTCTGTGCAACAAGTGCTGAGCCCCCTCAGTGTGCCTGGCCAGCAAAGCCCCATAAATATTCCCAGGCTAACTACCCATGGCCCCACGCTGCTGCCCAGATGGACCACTAGCCCTGTTAGCTGCTGAATTTATGATTCTTAAAAAAAAAAAAAAAAATAAAAAAGGAAAAGGTACACAGGATTTATTTTATTTCTTAAAAAAAAAATTCCCTCAAAGCAAGGAGTTTTTTACTCAGGGCCCAGCCAGCCCAGTGCCTGACACAAGCATTACCCAGCACTATTTTATGGTCTTTGCTGGCTGGGGGCACCAGTGCTGCTTTAAAAAGCAGCAATATTCCTTGCAAACAGTGGTTTTGAAAGAAGTATTTGATTGTCAGAAAGAGGGATAAGGAGGCAGCCTTGGGATGAGAAGCTTCAAAGCACGGCAGAGACCCTGCCCAAGCTCAGCTGTTGGGGACCAGCTGGAGACCAGGGCTTTCCCAAACACATTAAAACCCCAGTTATTTCACGCCCTGAACCCCAGGCAGCAGCTGAGGTGGGGGAACAGAGCTTGACCCCAAAGTCAAGCTGCAGAGCCCCCATCCCATTCCAGTTTCACGCCCAGAATTGGAGGGATGCTCTACAGTGCCACAAAATAAATAAAATCCCTGGGTTTCAAATGAATGTGTTTACCTGGTCTCACTGTTTTGCTCAGCCTGTGACCTCTGCACATTACATAGGAGAGCAGTATAATGCCCCTCTGAAAAGCAATCTTCCTGGGTAGGGCTTCTTGTTTTATTTTCTACATTTAAAAGGACAATTCCAGGCTCTGGATGGCTCTGGTTTGCAGGTGACTGAACCAGCTCTTTTGTCTTTAAGGGTGTGAAGTGAGGGTACCACATTTTCTGTGCTTTTCTGAGCAAGTCCTGACCTTTCAAATCTAAAGCTGGATAGAGAGTAGGCCTGGTATTTGGAAGCTCTCTTTTTTATGTGTCCCAGTTGTCCCCACCTTGCATGTCAAGTCCTTCTCCTGGCTCGAGACTTGAACTCCAGCATGTGACAAACAGCAAGGACAGAGCCAAGGGCAGCAATTACACCATCTTCCAACTTCAGAGGGGAGGAAAAAAATAAAATAACTTTAAAAAGCTCCAGGAAACAAGCAATGGCCAGGAAACCCAAGCTAAGCAGATATGGTTAAGCCTCAAATCACTCCCATTGTGAAGAAGTGCCACAAGCAAAGCACCCAGAAGTCTCGTGGTCCTTTTGCCACTGAATGTTTTCTATAACGACAAAGCTGGTGGCAGCATCATGGCAGCACAGAAGGAGGTGCAAGGCCGAGGGCAGGGAGAAGGCTGTCCAGAAAACCTGAAACAACACAGATAGGGCACCAGTCCAGTGCTTGCCTCAACCCACAGGGCACCAGTGTCAGAGCAGAGATGCACAGGGACCCAACACGCTGCTCTGGAGACTGAACACTTAAAACACACCCAGGGCAGGTTCTGAACCTGTTTTACACCACTGAAGCCCCACTGCAATGCTGCTGGCTTTCACCACGGGCTCCCCATCTGAATCCAGCGTGAACACATCTTCTGCTGCCCCCCCATCAGCACCAGCTCCCTCCTCCCACACCCAAAGCACCGCTCAGCACCGTCAGCAGCTCCTTCATGGTCTGACTTATTTTCTTCTTTTTTATTTTAAGTACACAGCACAAAAAACCACACACAGGCCAACTTCAGAGATTCCCACTAGAAAAATTAAATACTCATAATGCTTTTTTAAAGTGAATTGGGCCCCTTAATTTGCATCTTATAATAAGGATGTTATCGTACTGGTTTATGGCTCAGCTCTTTAGTTTCTATCTCTCAGGGGCTAGATTTCCCCTCATGAGTTCAATAGATGTCTGTGAACTAATGTAATTTTTTAAAAGGCTTTTCTTCCATATTAACATTACAACCTTTATGAGTTAAAGGTTTTCCTCGCCTGAGTGTGGGGTGTGTTGGAGTTCCAGAGCCAGGCTCTGTCCTTTACAGAGAGGATGCTGCAGGCTGAGGTTAATCCTGGGCAGGGGGTGGGAACCTTCCTCACCTCCCCACACCGAGCCCAGCTCTCCAGTGCGCTCCAGCTCTTACATTTGGCTTAATTATGAAACACTGTCACTCGAATATTAAAATAATGTTTAATACACAGAAGGGAATAAGCCAGTCTGGAAAAATGCATAATTTCCCTGCACCTGCCCTTGCTCCTCACATGCAATGAGCTCTGCTCTCTTCCTCCCTCTCTCCTGACTGCCTCCCACAGCAGTGCTGGGAATGCACTTCCAAAAAGCATTTAAAAGCCAGGGAGGCTTTGTCCACCTCTGCACCTTCCAGGAGCGCCCATCCTCTGCTCCCCTTGCCCCCGGGAGGTGGAGCAAGGCCAGGGTGGGATCTGTCCTCCTGGGGCCTCGTCTGAGCAGCAGCACCCGGCTCTTCAGGAGAGGAGAAACAGCAACAACTTGCCGAAATCCCAGAGGACGTTTTTGAACTTGCCCGAATTAGGGCCCAGGGCGGATGCTCAGCATTTCCAAACAGCCGGGCTCCAAAAGTGCTCAAACACGCCGCAAGTAGGAAAGATGTCGAAAATGCCAGCCCCTGCTTTAATGTACCCTGGGATCATTCATCACCTCCACACCTTATTTTATATTGCCAGACTCTGCTTTAAATAAGCTTTTTTTTTTTTTTCTTTTCCCCTCCCCTTTAATCACTACAGCTGCAGAAGGTGCTGTCTCTTTGCAGGAGAGAGAGGGAAGAGGAAAAAATGTAAGGAAAACAGCTAAAGGGGGATTTTAGGCAACAACAACAAAAAAAAAAAGCCAACTGGAGCAGCCAGCTGCAGAGCAGCTCCCAAAGGGATGTTCTTCCCCAAAGCCTCCAAATGGAAAAGCCAAAGCCCAGGGGAGTGTGCCAGGCAGGGAGCAAGGCAAAGGTCTGTAGGAAGGAGAACAAAAAAATAAGTTTTATCCATAGTGAATCATGGTATGCCCTATAGAGGTGGGGGGGGGGGGGGGCGTAATAAAGGGGTGTGGGGGAATTTTGGGGATGGCAGTGCAGGCCTGCCAGTGGGGGATTTCATGGACACAAGCCATGGAGCAAGGCTGCCAGTGGACACCCTCTGCCTTCAGGGAAGGGGGACAGAAGTGTCACAGCCACCAGGCTCTGCTTGCCAATGTAGAGCTGCAGGAGGAGGTCAGAAAGAGAACAGACATTCAAAAGGAAAAAATGTTTATTTAGGGCTCCATCCCCTGCTCCCTCCCTGCCCAGAGTGTCCTGGGTTTCCAAGGGCAGGGCTATATAAAGAGTGATCTGGCACCCCTGTGGGCACTACAAGCACTGATACAGAGACTCAGGAAGCAAATTCAAAGCCCCATTATTTTCTGCTTCCTGCTGGTGTCTGTGACAGAAAGCCCTTGCCCACCACCACCACCTTCACCCAACCCATCGTGCACAGATGCAGCAAAACCTGAGGGAAGGGGTTAAGCAGCCCGTGGATGCTCTGCCTGTGCACTCACTACCTGGAGTGGCTGTGCTCACAGCTGGGAACCATTAAAGGTTTAGTGCAGGTGGTGGAGGCTGCAGGCTCTTTGATGCACTGGGCTTGGCGAGCTCTGGGGATCATCTTCCAGACCCCAGAGATGCCCCAGCCAGAGGCCACCCTTTGCCAAGGGGACCCTGCCACCACTGTGGTCACCCCTCATCAGCTCCATGGAGTTGGGCTGCTCCATCTAAACCTCCTCATTGAGGAAAAACTCCTGCCCAAGCCTTTGGGGGGGAGGTCAGCTGCGCCACACCGTGCTGGGGAGGAGGAGAGGTCCAAAGGTACCACCTTCTTTATGTCATTTAAATTAGGATGCTGTAAAATGTGAAAATAACTTGAAAGGCAGTAGCCCTGTTTTATTAATAGCAAGTATTTATTAGCCTCCTTGATTTACAGTATGTTTCTGAAAGTCATCAGTCCATCACATTCTTCAGCACAGGGGCTGAGGTGTTTTTCTTGGTCAACACAATATGGAATATAGATCCGAATATGAGAAGCCAAATACAACCTTCATTTTGCATGCACATATCCCGCCGACGGGAGGCCCGTAAATGAGTCCTGTATAGCCCTTAGACACATGCAGACATTGGGGGAGAGGTGGGAGCTTCTGTACATCACCACTGGAAACCCAGAGAGTCATGGAAATGGCCAGGGAGGAGCCATCAGGGCTGGACCAACCTCAGGAAGCGTTACGGCGCACACACCCCGGCCACCAAAAAAAGGTGGGAATCCACCTCATCTGGTCTTGATAAGAGAAACCACCTGCCTGTCCATCCCCCTCACTGCAGAATGTGATGCTCACACAGCACAGGCACTCCACCCACCTGTCGCCATGCCCAGTCCCAGGTTTTCCCCCTCCTCCTGCCCTCACCGTGGGGTTTTGCCTGCCCGTGGCCACGGAACCGCAGCAGAGCCAGCATTCCCAGGGATCACGCCATGATCATTATGGGAGTCCAGGCAAAATTAAATTGGGGCCCACTGGTTCTGCCATCTGAACTTCATCACTGCTGAAGATGCAATAAAAGTAATGGCAACAACGAACAAGCCTCTACCAGATGTGTAACTCTACCCAGTGAGATTAAGAAGTAAGGGCCATCTTTGGGGTTTGGGGGTTTTATTTTGTCGTTGTTCTGACCCCTACAACTCCACCTTGCCTTGGGAATAATTGATTATTTGGACCCCTACAGAAGATGAATCCTAAGAGGATGATTTTTGGGGGGAGAGAATTGGAATGGAGAGGCAATAATGTTTTGCCTGTAGCAGACAAACACACAACTGAATGATGACGCCTGAAATGGGAAAGCCGGGTGGCAGGAGAAGCAGAGAGTAACAGAAGAAGGAAATGAGGCACCACTCCTGTTTTTGAGGGCTGGGGGGTTCAGCTCACTCCTCAATATGACTTTTCAGTGAGGTCAGGTGAAACACCACAGCTGACCAGGGAGCCCTGGAACAGCAGTGATGCTTAGCAGGTCCTCCCCCTCCTCACTGCCAAAAATCCACAGGTAAAGGCTCACCCCAGGCCTCACCAGCACACCCAGACAGCTCAAACACACACAAGAAAGGAAATGCAAACCCAAAGTAAAGGCTAAAGTTCGTAAAATAACCTCCAGCAGCCAAAGGACGATGAAGCTTCCCTCCACCTTCCCCCAGAGCCCACAGCTGTGTTGTCACCCACCAACACCACAATGCTGCTTGAACACAGTCACTTAGTGGGACCTAACACAAAGATGGGGTTGAAAAAACCACGAGGAGTTTGGCAGTTTTGCTTGGAAACTCATTCACAAAATCTGTTTTCAGATCCCTTCTGGAGAGAGGTCTTGCATCTCATAAAAGTCCACAGCCCAGATGCATCACGAATCCAAAACATACATTATTTTGAAAGCAAAATTTAAGCTAGACTTCACAAAAGGCTTGACCTTTGCTGCATTTTAGTGTCAGGAAAAGTGTGCTTAGAAATCAAACACAGCAGAGTTAGATCATCTCCAAGTCTGAAAGCAGTTTTTTAAGCCCAAAACCTCAAAGTTAAGCCAGATGATTCCCAGCAATTTTGTTCATCTCAACCCTGGGACTGGGAAGAACTTTTATCTTTCCTCTATTAAAACCCCAAAACTTTAGGAGCTTTGTTTTCTTAATAAAGGCCAACCACACCTTATTTCCAAATTGGATGTGCAGACCAACACCTGGAGAATATGCTAAAATACAAAACCCTTGGGAATATTGCTCCTCTTGCACCAGCAACCTCCAGCTTTACGGCTAACAACTTCCCAGCCCTCCCCTCACAGGAAACCTTGGACTCTTGTTAATTGGCACAAACTCATTAAGCCGCTGGTGATCCCAAGCACAGACACAGCAAGGGACTCAGCCACACCCTGGTCAGACAAAAAATGGACCCTAATGACACCCTTAATTAAAGCACACAGCACCCTCAGGTCACTCGGGGCAGTGGAAACCCTTTGGAATCTCCACCAGACCTGGTGCTGAGGCTGTCCTGGTGCTCTGCAAGGGCCGCAGCAGAGTCTGGAGCAGGAGCAGGGCTGGCAGCCAGGGAGAGGAGCCCCATGGCTTACAGGGGGCTCTCAGCACAGACATTGCACCTGTTAAGGCAACAGAATTCTGAAGATGTTTCAAAGCCCTAAGAGCTGGGGGAGAGTTTAACAACTGTGTTAAAAAATAGACATTTTTAAGACTACATTTTATTTGAATACATCTTCAGCACTTCAGGTATCACTTCTGTGCTTGGCAGAACACCTTCAGCCATCACCACTTTGTTATTTCTCACTTTTCCTGGGACAAACCCTTGCCTTTGTGCTGCCTGCTGAAGGAGAGACAAACCACAACCAGAGAAAGCAGATCCCATCACACTTGTTCCACCAGGCAGAGCAGCAAAAGCATAACCAGCTAGCCCGAAAGACATCCATGAACTGAGTTTTGCCTGTGCTCACACAATGCAAGGGTCAGGCACCCCCAGAAGGAGCAGCACACTGGAACCCCTGACAAAGCAGCTTCCCAGCGGCCCTGGGCCAGGCCTGCTGTAGATAAAGACCAGGTGAGTCCTGACTAGCAGTCCAGAGAAACTTGCAGTAAGTGACTCCATTAGCCCTGATCTGACACGGCTGCCTGGAGCAGAGATCCCCAGGGCAGGCAGGAGCAGGTGTCTAACTCTTCACCACTGGTGCACTCACAATCAATCAGGTGCTTAATCCAAAAGGATTAACCCTTCCAAGGCTCAAAAACCCCCTAGGAGCAGACACAGAGGTGGCAGCACAGGCTGGGCTAAGAAAAAACTTTAAAAACATCCCCTCATGATAAAAAAAGAGCTGAGGCTGTGCATAGACTTTTGGGTGGTTTGCCCTCAAAGACCAAATCACCTTAGAAGAAGCAGCAATAGCTCCCTTTGTGTCCCAGTGCACCTAGTCCTCCAGGTTTCTGGTATGGCACCCCTTGGAGATGCTCTTGCTGCCCACCCCAGCCAAATTTTAAGGTACTGAAGTGTCTGTGCTTGTGCTGTGTCCAGGCCACCATGAGAAAACCACAGCCCAGGGTTTTAAACAGCAAAAGAGCAACCACCACCCATGGAAAAGGCAACATCATTTTCCCTACAGCTGTTGCACCAGGAGAGTCACCCCAAGTGAGGGTCTCACTCAGACTGCAAGCAAGGAGATGAACAAAACAGAAGTGAGATTGAAGTTAATGCACAAAGCCAATCAACCCACTGACCCTTTCCCCATGACTTGGCTCTATCCCGCTGATCCCGGCAGCCCGACACGGCCAGCCAGCCTCTCCACTCACTACCCAGCTGGCTTCTTTCACCAAATAAGGTCCATTCCCACTTGTCAGCAGAGGCATGAGCAGCTCCAGCCTATCAATCCCATCAGAGACGGCACAAAGCTCACACATAACCCATCTTCTGTTGGGCAAAGCGCCTGGGCCCCGAACCAGGAGACTCCTTGGGTGGGTGCTCAGTGCCGAGCAAGGGACGCGTGTTGCTGGCCAGCCCCTGGTGCAAAGTCTGGGATACACTGGGACAAGAACCTGGCAGCAGCAGCTCCCCCAGCTCAGGGTAGGGCTCTGCATGCCCTGGTCTGACAGCGTCTCCACAGCATAACTACCGCTCCTCCCGAAACCTGTGCTGGTCTTGCTTCTCCTCGCATGGACACGAGCGGACATCAAGGAGCCCAGCAGCCCCAAAAGTACAGTTCAACAGCAGAAATGCAACAGGACAGCTGGCATTCACCAAGGATGATGCAGGAGAGCTGGGAAACCCCCCCCTTTCAGCATCACCAGAGGCAGCTCAGCAGTGCTCAGGGTGCCCGGCCCTAAGCCCAACTCCTGGCCGAGCTCTGCAGGAAAGGTCTGTCCTGTCGGCCGGGGCCAGGCAGCCCCTTGTGCCAACACCATCCCCGGTGAAAACCCAGAGCTGGCTTTTCTGCAGCCGGTACGGGAGCACAAAGTCACACCAGCCGTCTGGCCCTTGTTAGCATTAAAAATTAAAGACAGAGCAAACAAAACCTAAAGCTCCAACATTTATTATGGCAATTTCCCACCCACCCACAGACCTACACTGTGTTTTGCTTTATTTTTAATTCATCACATCAGATGTGCCTCCCGAGGAATGGCATGTTGAGGGGATAACCGACAGGCTGGGTTTTCCATGAGAGCAAGACAGTCTTTTCCATGGGGAAAGGAACCAGTCGAAGCCATCATTAAGCCCTTGACCTTGGTGGGTGGGTTGTTTTCGCTTGTTTTTAGAAAATGAAAAAAAAAAAATGAACAAAAAAAAAAAGAACCCCAAAAAAACGAAAAAACCAACCCCAAGGAAGTGTTGTACTCTATTACAAAATATAAATACGATAGTCTTGCAGGCAGGAGGAGCCCGGGGAGTGCTGCTGTCAGGGGTGACTCCTCAGGCTCTCCCGGGGACGCGGCAAGCCAGCAGGACAGAGGCCACCTCCGGATGCCGAGACGCCGCCAGCCACTCGCCCCAGCTTCACCTCCTTTCAGAATTTAAGTGCTCTTGAACTTCCATCCGAAAACTGCCAGACATCCGGGGCTCCCTGGGTGCTGCGCCAGCTGGGGGGGTACGCCGAACCTACAGAGAGCATGGGGACAGAGGAGAGAACAGGTGTGACATGGCCCACGGTGTGAGTCATTCCCTTACCCTACTTCTCTTTTTGTCTCTTTTCTGTCTCTAACAACTAGGACACCCAACTGCCGCAAAGGGATATGGCAGGACTGAGCCCTTCCTCTCTCAGGCCACAATCCCGCATCCGGCATCCTCCGCACCACACAGGAACCACAGGGATCATTTAGGAAGAAAGACCTCTGGGCTGTACTTGGCAGGGACCAAGCCAGCCTGTCTTGCAAACTTCCTCCTACTCTTTCCCAAGCCCTCCTGGGCTTCCCGCAGGTGCTGAAGGGCCTCCTAAAAGCCATTGGAACTGTTAACACGGCACACAGCGGGTGGTTCATGGAGGGCTTTTCCCAGCTCCCAGCATGGCGGGTATCACGCGGCATGGATGCGCATGCTGCAGCAGCAAAGCTCAAGCTGCACAGCCCCAGCCCATGCCCAGCAAAGCCATCCACTTCAGCAGCATGGGATGGGGCACTGGAAAGCAACCATTCCCAGCTCCCAGCCCCTGCTCCGGCCCGATCACCCAGCACCGCGCTACCCCCATGACAGGCTAAGGGCTACACCAGTGACCAGGCCGGCACATCATCAATGCACTCCTCAAAATCCACCTCGGCCGCCCGATGGGGAGCTGGTTTCTATGGAATTTACTTCATTAATACTCAAAAGAGTGGTCAAAGGACTACTACATGTGAGCTGCCATCAGGACTTAGTAACCAGCTCCTTCCTAGGCTGGCTCTTCAGTGGGTGTTAACTGGAGTGTCTCCTCTGGAGTCAAGAGCACTGTGCCCAGTTTCCCTCCAGGGAGAGTTAGTTGCTGTTCCTGACTGAGCCCAGCAGTTTCCAGGTTAATGTTAAAGCTGGCTGAGACTTTCAAGGCAGCCAAGAGCAGCACAGCCATCCTGGCCACTAGCACACCACCACTGCAAAGCTGTGGGGCACAAAACCTTGGGGTTCCTCACTTCTCCTGTCCCTCCTGCATCCCTGTGACTCATTGGAAACCAGCAGTCAAGCATCTCGGCTCAACGAGCAGCATCTCTTCAGCAGCTGTGGCAAAGAGCCCTCCGGGCAGTATCACTCTCTCCTAGTCAATACTACAATTTGTCCATGCATGAGCCAGAAGGGGTTTCAACCTTTATTGGAGGAAAAAAGAGAAGGAGGGATCTAAGGGAGCAGCTGGTATCATTTTTCTGTTGGGTACAAACTCCACACTTAGATAAACCCCAAAACTGTATCTCATCAGATATGCCACAGCCTCCTGAATGTCAAGCAAAGACATGGTACTGCTTATGCCCGTATTATCTCAGCCCTTGGAAACATAACAATATGAAACATCTGTAGTCTAAATTCTGGACACTGTTTCAGCACCTTCATTACAATAGTCACTACAAAATTTGGAGAAGATTAGACACTAAAGGGTCTATGCCATAAACCCATGTTCCCCCTCAAAAGTTGACAGGGCTGGAGATTTTAATGATAGACACTGTTACCCAAATACCACTTATTCCTAGAGACATCTTTTTGCACAGAAACTGAGAAGTTTCTGGGGAGCGCAGGTCACACGTGTGTGGAATGACAAAGCAGCTCATAGTGGGGCCTGGGACATCCATGCCCAAACCCAACAAATTTCAGTGGGTTCATCACACCACTAACTTACTGCCCCTGGCAGAAAAACAGCACATTCAGGAACATCTGCTTTGGTGTGGGGGTGACAGTGCGCTGCCACTCACAAACTACGCTGCTCAGACAACTCCTCCTATAGCAGGAGCCGCTTCTCCCGCCACTCCTTCCTCCAAACCACCGCCCCTGCCCTGTGTTATACGTGGCGCCCACCAGGCTCGTTCATTCGTCTCTGGGACACCTGGAAAATTCAGCTTTGGGAAAGCTGGGAATCACACGCATCGCTGCGCCGCTTGATAAAGAAGTCAATTGTTTGCTTTCCACCAGTTAATCTTGTAGCAGCACAGGTCGACCTAGTGATGCCTGTATATGGACACATGCAGATACCTGCCTGTGTGCTTTTATATACGATCATGTCCCAAGTAAAACACAGTACAGGGAAAGGTAGCGGGACAATAACCACCATAGAATGGACCCTGGGTACAGCGCCTGCTCTGAAAGACAGCCAGGCTATGCTCAACCTTGGGCACAGTTAGCCCCAAGTCCTCTAGGAAACATCTCCACCATGGTCTCACAATAACCAGCAATAAAAACAGGGACAGGGAGGGAGAGACCGGACTCTGTACAGGTATTTCGTGGCACAGGATCAAAAGATGCATCATCAAGGCAGCTGCAAAGCACGTCCCTGCAGACACTGGCCCTCCAGGGAAGAGCCTGTGTCCATGCCTGCCACCTCGAGCTCCCCACCCTCCCCTATACTGTGCTAGGGATCCCTCTGGCACCACTCCAGCTCCAGCCAGTGGGCACCAGCCTGCTGAAGGGGAGCACAGGTGGGGGGGCACTGCCTGCACCTTTCCATCCTTCCCAGACTCTTATCCCGCTAGTCCAGACAACAAAATCTTCCCCCTTCCTCTTCCAGGATTAAAATTTACTATATTCTTTTCAAATCTCTCTTAGAAAATGATTTTTTTTTTTTTTTTAGATAGGTTATTTCTGTCTTTTTTTAAAATTCCAAACCTCCCCCTTCAGAAGGTGCCAGGCAAAATACAGGCAACAAATGATGCCATCACAAGAAGACAACAGAACAACTGGAAGATTTTACAGAAATCAAAAAAAGGAAAAGAAAAAAATAGTATTAAATCCATTACACTAGGAACAGCAAGAGACAATATCACAGCGGTATGTGCTTTAATAAAGTAAAGAGATGCTGCAACATGCAGTATTTGTCAAACTGACAACATATACAGACCCCTAAGGGGGGACAGGGGGGACCTGAACTCCAGATTTTAGAGACAATGCACAGAAACCTGCACTTCCCACAAAAAAAAAAAAAAAAAAAAAAAAAAAAAAAAAAAAAAAAAAAAAAAAATCAAAACAGGGAGAAAAGAAGGGAGCTCCCAGCTTCAGCTCCAGCTGGGAGCAGGGCTGGGCTCAGTGTGATCCGAGCCGAAAGCGAGAGACCTCAGCCCCCCAAGAGAAATCAGCTCCTGCCTGGGCGCCTGCAGGCGCCAGTGGCTGATTTCACCCCGTCCCCAAAAGCAGTCAGGGACAGGGGAGCCCCGGGGGGCTGCAGAGCTGTCGGTGTGCTCACCTCTTCTGCCACAGATTTGCCAAACGGGGAGGGAAGTCCCTGCTGCAGACCGAGTGAAGGCCGGGGGTGCCACAGGCTATCGCGGTGAGGGGGTCACAGCTCACTCCTCATCTAGAGGGGGGAAAAATCCCAAAGCTACAGGTCCAGACTGCAAACACCTTCCACTGGCCGGACAGTGAACTCCTTAGCCCAGAAATCCTCTTCCTGAGCAGAGGGGGCTGATTTAAGGCCAAGCTGCGTGGTGGGCACTCCCTGGGGACTGGAGCGGGCCCCTGAAAACGCCCCTGCACGGGACCTTCCCCTACAGCCTGCTGCTGGAAGCCACCTACAGCGTGTGTCAAATGAGGACACCAGAAGCTGACACTGTGTACTTTAAGGTTTTTTTTTTATTTTTTCAATAAAGGGACAAAATGGGTGTATGAACAGGATAATGCAGACAACTGCCAAAAAAACACAGACAGTGGTTTTTCCAATAGAACTTAACAAAGACCAGAAACAAATACAATAAAAAGCCAGGTTGTAATGACCTTTGGTCATCCAAATAATAAAAAAAAATTAAAAAAAAAAATTAAAAAAAACTCCCCCCCCCAAAAAAACCCCAAAGAAAAATAAAAGATCAAATTAAGTGCCTCTGTTTTGAACAGAGCACATAAGCAATAATAAATAGTGACTCCCATAGTAAAAGATAAAATTTCAAGTTACGACAAACAGCTTTCATTACAGGAATAGAAAAGGCCAATAACAAAATATTCTGCATTGCCATTTACAAAAAAGTATTGACTCAAGCGGGCTTTCTCTTTAATATGCTTTGCATATGAAATTCTTTCCAATCTAAATATAAAGCACCATTTAGTTTTTGGCAATGAAAAAAACTGCAAAACGGTTTTTCTTTTCTTTTTTTTTCCTTTTTTTTAGCTTTTTTTTTTCCTTTCTTTTCTTTTCTTTTCTTTCTTTTCTTTCTTTCTTTTACTGCATATGAAGTTAAGATGCTGGAATGTCGGGTGATAGAAGGAAAGGGACATAAAGCACACTACATAACAAACCAACGTTATTAGCTTGCAGTACTGCATACAGTATGGCAGCAGGAAAAAAGAACGAAAAAAGATATGTACACCCCTCTGTGACGGCCAGCAGCATGACATCAGAACAGGTTTCTCCCAAAGGGCCATTATATGGCCTCGGATCTGTACAATGTCACACCTTTTTTGCCTTTTTGTCTTTTTTCTTTTTTTTTGAAACATACAAATAATTTGCACTATATTATCCTGCCAAATTAAAAAAATATACTGTGGCAGCCTGTGGTTTTTTTTTTTCCACTACCAAAAAAGGTACATCAATACCTTTTGCGAGAACAAGCAACAGTTAAAAATACAAGCTTCAATATAAATACTATAGTGCCTACACTAGATGAACATTTAATTCAAATACCATTCTAGAAATACAGAAAAAAGAGACCATAAATGTGTTTTAGCATAGGAATCAACATGAGTGTGCATTTTCCTATATTTAATTACTATATAATCTTAAAACCTTTCCCCAATGCATGTTTTTATACAACCTGAAGAGCTGTGTATATCCAAGGCATAGAATTTCCACTACCATTTTAAAATGAGTAACAAGTCTTGTACACCACCAAGACAATGAACCCTAAAATACAGTTTCCCCCTAAACATAATGAAGTGTTGTGGTTTTTTTTCTTTTTCTTCCTTAAAAAATTTTTCTTAACATTTCATTTATATTTTAAAAAAGGTTTTGTGGTGTTTGTTTTTTTTTAATCTTTTTTTTTTTTTGTACAAAAAAAAAAAATCCTTGCACTGTAGGAGTGAAAGCAATCGTTCATTTTATGTGAGTGTAGAGTCTGTTTCCATTCACAGCGCTGTAATGTCGCGTCCGAGAAGATAAGCTCATTAGTCAAGTAAATGGCTGGCAAAGTTTGTGGGGTTTTGTGGGTTTGTTTTTTTTTTATGCTCATCAATGTGTGTTGAATTTTCTTTTTTTTAATTTTTTTTCTTTTCAGCTTTCTTGCAACTTTTCCCTTAAAGTATAGACCTGTAAACTGGGAAAATCGTACAGTGCACTTAATTGTCCTATCTGAGCAGTCTTATTTTATACTCAACCTCTGTACCTTTGATTAAAGAAAAGATACAGACATCACAGGCAGAGTCAAGTGCTATTTGAACACCAACCGGGGCAGGCGCTAGCTTAGGAATAAAACAAGAAATCCTCTTCCACGTCAACACAAATAGCACACAGAGGATGGGGGAAAAAAAAATGAAGGACAACTTTTAGGGAGCACAAACAGATACTGCTACTCTTTCGCTTTTTTTCTTCCTTTTTTTTTTTTTTTTTAAATTTCCTGTTACTTCTTCCAAAGCATCATATTAAAGGAAAGTCTTATAAGAATTGTTCATAGTTAATCACCACTGTGTTGATATTAGCTTATACACCTGTTCTAGTTTTAAATGGCAAACAGTACCACATTGTGCTAATAAATCACAATTTATTTATTTTTTTGCTCCTCTGTTACACTCGGTAAAATATTATTGCCAGTCTTTATTTTATTTTTTATATGGTATACATGAGGTCTTAAAGTTTATAATTTGATTGTCAGCTTGACAACCAAGTGGCTCCGGATTTATTTGTTTTGGTGCCAGAATCAATAAAAGATATTATTAAAAGTAAATATCTTCATAAAATGGATTTCCTTTATTGTGTGTTTAATGGTGTTGAAGGGCCTCTGCATGTTTCACATTCTATTTAATCATTGCTGGGGGGGGGGTGGGGAAATAAAAGTTTGAGGCAGGGCGGGGGGGGGGAAGGTTCTACATCTCGTTTTAAGCTCTCTCCACAAGCCAAGCAGGTTTTTAGACTGGTATGATCAGTTTTTTAAAAATAATAGTAATAATAATTAATAATAACAATAAAAGGCAGAGGAGAATGATGATTAACTAGGACTGAGTGGGTCATTTCTTTCTCTTCCTTAGTTTCCTCTTCCCTCTTCGTTCCTAGGTGGCCAGCGTTGTGAGGGGCACGAGGCGGCTCCCAGTGCGGCCGAGGTGGCGACGAGCTACACATGGAGGACGAGTAGAAAGGAGCCATCGGCATCGGCCATGACAGACCCAAGGCACTCGGATTATTATTTTTTTTTTTATTATTATTATTTTTGTGGGTGTGTGGGTGTGTGTGCTTGAAATCAAATGCTAAGAGAAATCTACCTCTTCCTGACTGGTGGCAGTAGGTTATTCCCAATTAAAGGCCTTTTTTAGAGTTCCCAAGGGGAACTCTGTCTCCAGTCGTGGGTTTATTGGTTTAAGACAGCGATCTAGGCTAACACAATGCTTCTTCGGTGCTATCGGTCCTGTCCGCAGAGGGTCACCCACAGCAAGTTTTCCTTTGCACGTCACAAAACAAAACTGTACATGATATGTATTACAGGATGTATGCAGCATGGTCGGTTTTGTTTGCTCTCGGGTTTGGTTTTGTTTCACTTTTTTTTTTTTTGGTTTTTTTTTCCTCCTCCTCCTCTCCTCTTTTTTCCTCCTTTTTTTTTTCTTTTCCTTTTTCTTTTTTTTCCCGAACGGAATTGGAAACAGCGACATGTTTGCTCAGCAACTAATCAGGGACAATTTAAAAACAGCCATAACATACCATACATGCTGTCTAATCCAAAAATTAAAAAAAAAAAGAAATAAAAAAAAATCAACCAAAATAAAAAAACAACCCAAAAAAAAAAAAACCCCAACATACACAACATGTAAATTATTGCACAAGAGAAAGGCTCAAAGTTTGCGTAAAATGCAATAGTATTGCCCCGATACAGATCATGCATTCAAACGGTGAGAACAAAAAGAAAATAAACAGGGTGTGCTGGTGACAAGCACTTTCCAAATATCCTTAGCTTCCATGACTTCCATCACAAGGGACTAGAAAATCTCTACGGGGATGCGAAGTGGGGGGTGGGGTGTGGGGGGCAGTGTGGATGGGAGTGGGGGGGTACGAATATACCTCTATTCAGTTTTTATCTCGTTATTCAAGACTCGATCACTGTGCCATTTTTTCATGTGTTTCTCCAGGGTACTGTACACGCTAAAAGGCATCTTACAAATCTCGCATTTGTAAACGTCCTTTCCCACCTGCCCGTGTGTTTTCATGTGCCGGGTGAGCTTGCTACTCTGGGCGCAGGCGTAGTTGCAAAGCTCACACTTATACGGCCTCTCGCCCGTGTGGCTCCGTCTGTGGACGGTGAGATTACTACAGTTCTTGAAGACCTTCCCACAGTACTCACAAGTGTCGCTGCGTCTGCCCTCTTTTGAGCTGGGCCTGCCAGGGCCCGGGCCACTAATATGGGGGGTGCTCCCTCCGCTTCCCGTGCCGCTGCGGCCTGAGATCCCTCCGTCCAGCTCGCCCGGCGGCGTGGAGAAGCGCAGGCTCCCGTTCTCCGAGGAGTGCTCGGAGGAGGAGGCGAAGGGCGATTGTCGGGAGTCGCCAAAGCTGAGGAAGGGGTCCTTCAGCTGCCGGGAGGCGGCGTAGCCCGCCAGCCACTGGGAGTAAACGTTCTCGGTGTTGGGCATGGCGGCAGCCGGCAGGTCGAACTCCTTCTCCAACTTGATGCGTTTGGAGAAGGGGCTCAGGGAGCTGGGGCTACCCAGCAGCAGCTTTTTGGACAGGCCTCCCGAGGCAGACTCCCCTGGGGAGCAGCCTCGGCCATTGACAGCCCCCTCGTCGATACGGTCAGACTCGCCGGCCACTGAGTCTTCGTCACAAGTGTCCCTGTGCACCTCGGGCTCGGGGAGGTGGCCGCGCTTGTGTTTCTCCCCCAGAACCTGGTGGAAGGCCTCGCTGAAATGCTGCATGGAGCTCAAGACCATGCCCTGCATGACGTCCGGCATCGTCCGGCCCTCCTCGCCAGCCCGCGAGTTGTTCTCGTGGTGACGGGCCGCCTCAAGGCTCATCCCGAAGCCATAGTCCGGCCTGTCGCTCTCGTTCAAGTCCTCCTCCTCTTCCTCCTCCTCCTCCTCCTCTTCCTCCTCCTCCTCCTCCTCTTCCTCATCCCCGTTCTCAGGGATCATGTTGGGGTCATTCTCGCTCTTGAACTTGGCCACTACAGACTTGAGGGCACTGCTGGCGCTGCCCACCAGGTCGCTGGTGCCTGGCTCAGGGGAGCTGGCGGTGGAGAGCCCATCGTCTGACTTCACTGTCATGGGGGAGGACTTGTGCATGTGGGTCTTCATGTGGCGCTTCAGCTTGCTGGCCTGCGTGCAGGCATGGTCACAGAGGTTGCATTTGTAGGGCTTCTCCCCCGTGTGGCTCCGGCGGTGGACCACCAGGTTGCTCTGAAACTTGAAGGTCTTCCCACAGAACTCGCAGGACTTGGACTTCATGGGGGGCTGGGAGGGAGGAGGAGCAGATTGCAGAGGAGGGAGGGGCGGTGTGGCCAGGAACGGGGGCTTGCTGCCAGGCTGGAAGGGCTGCAGCAACCTTTGCATAGGGCTGGGCCGGCTCGGGGACAGGGGTGGGCTGGAGGTGTTGCCGGCCAGCTCCCGCAGCCTCCGGGAGAAATCCATAGCGGGCGGCTCCATCGCCATGGGGTTCAGTCGCAGCACCCTGTCAAAGGCACTAGGGTGATGGGTGGCCAGAGCCATTTCTTCCGCACCCAGGCGCTCAATGCGATGCGGATCCAAATGGTGCCTCGGGGGAGGGCTAAAGAGGGGCGGCGTGGGTGGGAAACGCCCTTCTCCCAGCCCTGACGCCTCCCTCGAGACCGAGCCGGGTATTCTGAGCAGGTTAAAAGGGTTATTGTCTGCAATGTGAATCCCATGGAGAGGTGGCTGGGAAGGGCATTCTGCACCTAGTCCTGTTGGGATACCAACCCGTGGTGTCAGGGGGCTGCCATGCTCGCTTTCTAGGTAGATCCGTAAGCCGTGTGTGTTCTGTGCGTGCTGCAAGAGGAACCAGGCGCTGTTGAAAGGCTGTTTACAAGTCGTACACGTGTAGCTGCTGGGCTCATCTTTACCTGCAAAATAACACAACAAGCAGCGTCAATCTCCGGCCGTCTAGCGGCGGGCGAGTGCTCGCCTCCTCACCTAACCTCCTCTCCTCCTCTGGGACACTCAGCTGGGAGCTGGGCAAGGAACTTCCCAGCTGAGGGACAGGCAGGGGACATGAATGGGAAGAGGTGAGGGGCACAACAGGGATATCCAGGCCCACACTAAGCACATCCACCTCCTCCCACCATGCCCAGCTCTGGGTTCAAATCTGAACCATGTTGGGTAACCATAGAATAAAACAGGCAAAGAAAAGCAAGAAATGTTAAAGTCACTCAATGCCAGCTCCAACTCAGCTGACTTTATGTTGCAAGAGGGTACAGGCATTTAGAGTATTCGTAAATAAATATATAAATAAATAGATAAATAGATAAATAAATACAAAATAAAGAAATTGCTTTCTGAAAAGCACTCCACACAGATCAGTTCCAAGCATCACAACTGCCAGCAAGCTGGGCATCCACACATTTTTAGTCTCCTCCTTATTTTGAGACTGACAATGTGTACAAAATTAAGAATCAACTTCTGCTTCTTAGCAGAGATTCACCTCTGCGGGAAGGAAAGAAATAAAAAGAGCAGGGGGAGGGAGGGAAAGAAAAATTGAGCACGGGACAGGGAAAGACAGAGAGAGCAGCAGCTCCACCACGGAAAGAGCTGGAGGCTGGCCAGGAGGCCTGGCCGAGCGCCCTCCCGGAGCCGCATTATTTCTCTCGCGCTGAAAAGAAGCTGAGAATGGTAAATGCCACTTTGGCAAGTAGTGAGCTAACTCTATTTCATGATCATTTATTTTTGGAGATAACACGGACATTATAAAAGAGCAACCAACTAATAAATAACTAAACAAAAAGCCGGCTAATAATGACAGCAGAAAGTAGCCCCTTCTAATATATGGCAAAACAAGGGAGATTAATAACTTTTTGAGGGCCGCCTGCGAGGGAAGAATGGTGTGAGATACGGTGAAGGTGAGGGTGCCTTTATTTATTACTGGGATTTTGCGAATAATTCCCTTCTACCCCCATATGGATGTTTTTTGCTAAATGCTGGTAAACCAAAGCTGGAGCTAAGAGAAGGTTATACATTCACGTTCAGCCTTGTTCAGCAGTTCTCACAGAGCTGTTGTTTAGTGATATTTTAACAAATAACAACATTGAGGTAAGCTGAGAGATAAACCAGGAGCCTTCCAAGGGCATCAGCACTTGGGGTGGTGGTACTGGCCTTCACCACATATTCCTGCCCTGACTCAACATTTACATCCCCAGGAATCCGTTCCTTAGGCATGTCTCTTGGGTAAACAGGCTGCACTGAGAGTTGCCCTCATTAGGTTTCCCCTATTTGCCTAATACAAAGAAAAGGAAGATTTTAAAAAAACAAATAAGGCAAATTAGGAAAGAGAATATCACTTTATCTGGGCCCATCTTTTTTTTCCATCTCACGGGGAGGAGGGGAGGAAAAGTGGGCATTTTCCCCTCAATGATCTTGGGATACAGGACAGAACCAGGCATCTTTAAGGTCCCTTTCAACTCAAACCATTCCATGATCCTGAGATCCAGCTCTGGCTGTACTGCTCCATCCCAGCTTCCCTCCCTGCCTCCCGGCTCTGCCACTATTCTGTGTTTGGCCTGAGAAGCTGAATCAGGCAAGCAGAGAGCCTCAATCATCTACAGCAGGCATTTAACACTTTAATCACTTTAAAAGCCCTTGGAATAATATTTAATGTTTCACTCTGAAGCCTGCGTTGGAATAAAATGCACTGTTGTGTTTAGTATGTGCCAGACATGTGAGCACAGATAAATACTTAAATCTGCTGAAATGAGAGTGAAATTCAGTTGGACTTTCACATTCCTATGCTCATTTGAGAGCTTGGGGGGGGGAGGGGGGGGGGCACGGGGGGAATTATCTTGCTTCATCATATTGAAATGGATGTTTTTAACACCATGGAAGGAGCTAACAACAAAACACTACCTTGCCTCTCTACCTTATAGATCAGGTCAGAGAAAATAGCATTTTATCTTATAATGAGGATACAACATCGAGCGTTTGCTACCACATTTTAGTATTCCCATCAACTAGATATTCTAGATCATAAGGGCAGCTCGTGTAATCATAATGTCAATGAGAAGGGCTGTTACGACTGAGACTAAAGATTACATGGAAAAAGCTGCTTTGAAACTGGTAATTATTACCAGTCCACTAATAGCAAATGATGCATTACAGTTTCACCGTATAATCTGTATTTCACTCAGCTCCTGCCAGTGCGGCCTTATTATATTACAGTGCTCACAAATTCTAAATTCCTAAGCTACAGTCATCAATAAATGTGTTACTTGCCATAATTTGCAAAATTACTTTGTTCTTAACATCTTCGACTGTTATAAAGACTGGAATTGATTTCCTGCGTGGCAAAATTAGGGCTACATTGACCTAGTGGAGTGTAAAATGTAAGATTATTCTTCATGTGCTTGCCTGAAAAACAAGTTTTCAATTCACTGTCTGTGTTTGGTAATCAAGATCATAATTTACAATTAAAATCATGTTTATGTACAAAACTTCCCTAAACAACCCACCATTTTCAAGGGAGCAATGTAAAACCAGGGAAAAAAACAACTAAACAGCTAAACAGTTAAAATCCACCAGCCATTTGTCTCCACCTCCTGCTCTGAAGAAACATGATTTCTAATTTGTCTATTAGTGCTTGATTAATTATGAAGGCTATTGACTGACCATATCACCAACTAGATATATGTTCCAGTCTGATGCAGCCTCGCCAAACTGCAAAAATTATGGCACTAATCCACAGCAACAAGATGGATCCTTAGAGTGCCACGGCAATCCCTGGGTTGGGAAGGGACTTGCCCTCCCATGCTCCCATCCTATCACCACCATGGGCTTTTTGGGACACCACTTGGGTCCCCTCAAGAGTCAGACCCAAAGGCCATACCCACTGATGTCTCCTTACTGTGTGGGCCAGGCCCTGTGTTCACACAGCTTTCCCAGTTAACACATCTGGGCATGACCATGGGCAAGCGAGGTGGGTGTCACAGCAGGGAGATGCAGAAGATGGTGCTGGCCAAGAACAGAGCTGGAGAAGGTCCCATAGGGCTCTTTGTGCCTCACCATCTGCCAGGACAATGTGATGGGGTTTGTCATCCATTGTGATGCCACTGGGACTTTCAGCTGATTTCCAAGAGGAAATCCAGGAGTCACCACTGCACCAGCCTTGGGCCACCAGCAGTGTGGATGGAGCTCACATCCTGGGTCTGGAGTTCATATCCTTGGCTACTTCTAAATTCAGGAATTTGAGGCTGAAAGGGACCCCCAGTTCTCACCCTCTGAGCCTCCCTGCAATAGAAGTCACTCTGTGACCAACACAGTGTCTTTCAGTAAAGCACGACCTCCTCCAACCTGCAATGCATAGTGCAGAGCACAAATCCTGGTGCAATCTATTCAAACCAGCTCAGCAGACAGGGAGAGTACCCACTGCTTGCCACTACAGTCAGTTCCCACAACCAGCCACACTCACAGACAGGTATTGGGATTCACCTGAACTTCTCTAGCTCTAACCTGTACCTGTTCTCTTTATATTTTGAGGGGTTTTGCACTTGAAACTCTGAAAAGCTCTTGGTACACAATGGGCTCCTCAAACACACCATGGTGTTCTTCGTGAAACTGAGGCACACTTCAAAATCCAGTTATTCTTCCATCCTGAGGCCACCCCTCCACTACCCAAGGACCAACCTAGCCCTTTTCATCCTGGCATCATGCTAGGAAGGACCTGATTTTCCTCTCAGCTTCCCACAGAGCTGATACCTTCCAGGGTACTGCACCCAGCTGTGTAAGCACAGCCCCAATTCCACTCTTCCAGCTAAGGGCCACATGAGGTTGGACCTGATGTCTTCTCAACACGTCCTTCCTTTCCAGACAAGCCCATTAACCTGCCCCACTTGCCCTGCACCGACCTTTGCTTTACCCACAATGCCAATCAACAGAACTGCATATTCATTTCCAAATCACCAACAAAGCACTAAGCACCACTGAGGCCCGCACCAGCACCTGCTGAGCTCTCCAGCTAAAGCCCCACATCCCCTAATCTGTTGGCCAGCTCTGCATCACCTGTGCCAGCAGTACCACCCAGTGCTCCGTCTTCCCATAGGCAATGTCACAGTGCTGTGCAGTCTATTTCATCTACATTTATCAACCAAATTTGACATCTAGAAGAATGAAATCGGGTTTATTTGACAAGATCCATATTCCATAAATCTAGTCTGAGTGGCATGAATTATATTTCTATCCTTTAATTATTTATCAACTGAATCTTATGTTGGTTCTTCTGTTATTTTGCCCAGAAGAGATAAGCAAAGTGTTGCCAACTCTCCCACGTTACCCTGACCAGCTCTTGACAGCATTTTCCCAGTTCATAAGCTTCCTTAAAACCAGCATCACATGCTAATTCTTCAGGGTTCCTTGGGTGCAAGTTTTCAGGGCCTTTTTATTTAAAAATACTTCTCTCCATTGAAGGAGAAATATTTTTTTCTCTCTGCTCATATCCTCCCTGGCTACCAGTGAGCTAGAAAAAAACGTCATCACCCACCTTATGATACAGAAACGTAACACGGCTACTTCTCCAGGTCTACAGCAGAAATATTTATCAAAAATTTCTACCTTACTGCTTCTTCCATTTATCCCTTCCTTCTTCTCCATGATCCTGAGAAGCTCTCTCTCTCTCCTCCTCTCCCCAAAGGTGCCAGGCACAAGTTTTCCTCTCCAGCATCTCCAGCTCTCCTGACCTGTTCTCTACCCACCCTGGTTTCTCACTGCGATTGATGCCTATCCATTTTCCATTTTTTTTAATTGTCATATATTGATTTTTCTAATATCTAATTGCTGTTCTCATCTCACCACTGAAGCGAGTGAAGTGGGTTTTGGACTGGGGCCAAAGTTGCCCTCTCCTTCCTGGACAGCTCATCAACTC